ATACAGTAATTTTTGGAAAAATATTTTATAATGCAAATACATACTTACTTAGAACCATATCATACAGGGATGAATGGGCACTTCTTTATTTGTATTGTGGCATGTTAATGTTATGTATGTTAATATAATTTTTCAATTTCATCACATTACCTATTTTTTTATAAAATCCATATAAAAATATATTAAATAGGATCCATTACTTTAACTGTTAACCTAATCTTAAAACGAATAATAAGCCATATTAAAATAGATAGACACGATAGTTTTATTTGTAATTTTAGCTGTCAAAAATGTTCATTTTTAATTGAAATCAACAATTGACAGCTGAAATTACAAAAATGACAGCTAAAACTACAACAAAACTCTCGTGTAAATTCAGCATAACACTCTACACAACATTTAGTTTTCGAGAAGATGGACAATCATAGAACAAATACATAGAAGTAATTAAATTTATTCATCAGCTGTTTCTTATTACTATGAGGTGTAGAACAAAATTTAATTGAATTTTAAGTGTTTAAATAAGTAATATAAATAGAAATCTTTATGGAAGAAGAAACTAAATAAAAAAACAGTTTTATTTTAATTTTTAACTTTATTTTTCAACTTTTTCTTGATATATTTTTATAAACAACAAAGAAAACAAAAATAAAATTAACTGCTTTGGCGTTGTATTTTTCAATTTCACGGAGAAAGATAACTCTTTGACGTGTGCCTATTGAATTCTTTGACGTTTGTCTATTGAATTCCTTGATGTTTGACATTTAATTATTTTAACGAACACCGAATTAGGGGCATATTATGATTGAATCATAATATACCTCTTGCCGAGCAATGACAGATACTCGTTGTATAAAATCTTACCACATAACCAAGTTGCCGATCATATCTGAGTATACATAATAAATGAATAATGGTTAATATTAATAATAATAATTAACTTATAATTTAATCAAATATTCATGCATTTAATTTTATATTTTCCTTGGACTGTGCACATTACTACAACTGAATGTATATAAACACATATACAAAAATCTGATTTATTTATTAATAGCTACTTAATTTGCAAAAAATTAAAATATTTTGATATTTTGTCAAGCATTTTAAATACACTACCAGTGTAAGAATAGACACTCTGCATAACATGGCCTTAAGACATGCAAAATACTTGATCATGTGAATTGACCGTATGTATTGCTGTTATACATTCTGCTATTATTCTTTGCAAAATATATTTCTTTTAAAAGTCATAGTGTCATTGCATTGCGAATAACAAAACTGTCATAAGTCAATACTTTTCCAACACCAACAAAATTGTTTTCATTTTTAAGTCAACAAAGAATATTGTATAAATAATTAAAGTATAAATATAATTAATATTTATAATATCAAAATATGTTAAGTTCAATGGTTAAAGAGCATCATGCTAGACAAGCTAAACGTAAGCAGGAGCAAGGTTTGTTAAAAATTTCAATATAAATAAAGTATAAAAATTGAAATGATTTACTTTCTAGAAGTGCGACGTAAAGAAGCAATTGAGGCATCTAATGAGGTAACGCAAGCATTAGTAGATCATCTTAATGTCGGGTAAAAATTTATTTATGTTATTATGAAATAAATAGTAATACTTTAAAATAAAACAGCGTTGCTCAGGCATATTTAAATCAAAAAAGACTGGATGCTGAAGCGAAACAATTGCATGTCGGTGCCACCAATTTTGCTAAACAAACACAACAATGGTTGAATCTAATTGACAATTTCAGTAGTGCTTTAAAAGTAAGATTATATTTTTACTTTAATCAATATCAATTAAATTTTTTTTTCTACAATTAACTTAACAGGAACTTGGTGATGTTGAAAATTGGGCACGTAGCATTGAGGATGATATGAAAATTGTTCAGGGCACCTTGGAAATAGCATACAAAACTTCAAGGCAAATACAAAACCCAAAAAGTAGCTGAGCTCTTTATTCTCCTGATTTACATAATATATAAATAACATATAACTACGTTATGGTAATAATAAATTTTAAGACAGTTAAACTACACTTAATTATATTTATTAGAATTGATACGCTATACCTATGCTAAAGATAATTTTATATTATGTAAAGTATCAGTTTTGTATATTTAATCAACTAATTTTAAACACTATCTACTGGAAATAACTCAATAAAAAAAATGGAAACGTACTAATTCATAGAAATCGTGTTAAACTTTATAAATTTTATTTATAATTATAATTTATAAAATATACTTTCATGAGTTTTAATTCGAGATTGTATTAGAATTAGATATAGATTATATTATATTTTAGATTAAAAAATCTTTAAGGAGTGAAATATGTTTCATACAACCCCACAAATAGTTATTTATTGGTTTCCATTTTACACTTCTTGGAAAATCTGTACGTAAATTAGATATTAAATCTCACATTGAGTAGAATCTGGCTATTTTGACATGGTGTATTCATAAGTATGACTAGTTTGCAGTGAAGTTATAAACCGACATGTTAAATAAATGATTTTATGGTTCATGTTAAAAGAAATGAATAACAATGGAATGTTGAACATTCAAATGATTTTGTTGTTAATACAAAAGTGTCTATTAATAACTTCAGCTCTTAAGTTCTAAATCTAATCCCTAGAATCATTGTAATAAACTGAACTTACCTTATGAATAGAAAACAATTGGTAACTTAATTCCGGCGTCATATAATTTATTTGCCAGGATATCTCACACCTTACTACTCTATCGCGATTTCATTGAAATATCTTTTTTTTTGTCTATATCTCAAACTAATTTTAGTAATCATTAGCAATAATAATAAAAATATACTGAGCAGCATTTAATTCTATTTATTTATACAAATAGTATCAAGGTATATAATATAAATTAATTATTATGTTAAATAGTTTCTTTTACTACAATTCGCTTATTATTTATTCATCGTTCATTTTATTTATTTAACTACAAAATCTAAAGAATAAAATCGAAGTAAGTTTTCATATTAAAATAATAAGAAACTATTACAAATAATAGTTTTATTATCATTAATCATATAATCAAAGAATTAATATAAAAATCATATATTAGATTATTTGCTTATACATGCACAACTCTTCTTCAATTTAATGTAATTTGAAGTCTTTTCTCTCAATAATTTACGATTAAATTGTTGAAAGTACAAAAAAACTAATCAAAATAATTACTATTTTATTATATTTTATTACATATATAAGGAAATTATATACATATTCATATATAATAATACCAAAAAGTAAATAAAAAATTAACATTAATTAATTAATTCTTTAAGATAGTCACTTATAATTGCGAATTGCAAGAAATTTTATAAAAATATGAATGAGTTAGATCAATTTTATTTCCGATAGTAATCACCTAGAAATAATAAAATATTATTAATTTCATTAAATATAGTTAATAAATATGAATGAAATATACATACGTGATGAGTGTGAGGTACTTCTATACTGCTGAGAACGTCCCGAATCATAATCATGTTTTCGACTTTGTTCGTAATTACGTTTGCGATCAGTTTCGCGATGTCTATTCCGTTCAGAATCGCGTCCATTATCTACAAACACCTCACGATCACGTTCTCGTTCACGATCATGATTACGTTCTCGATCTCTATCACGCCCACGATAATTATTTGATTCATACACTGGTGGTGAATTATCTCGCCTAGAAGAATAGTATATATTAATTATTTACATTAATTATTACATTATTATTTTATTTATTTATTTTAATTATTTGTAAATTAAATTGGGATTTTTTTTTGTGGAATATAATAAAGATTACATCTTACCATTTCTTTCGTTGATCTGACGTTGATGAATTAGATTTGTTTGCATCACGTTGATCAAAAGCGTAATCTACTCGAATTCTGCGTCCATCTATTTCAATACCATTACATGTATTTCTTGCCTCACAAGCATCACCAATACTTCCGTAATATATAAAGCAAAATCCTTTTGATCTTCCACTCTACAAAAATACATACAATAATAATGTATTTATTTTTTAAAATCTTTGACAAAAGTCCATATATAAATATGTTCTACAAAATAGATACTTATACTAGGCTTTAAGGATAAATGTATATTTTTGAGATGTAAATGTCGCATAACGCCTTTCTCAACAGCAAATAACTTAAATGTGTTGAACTTAAAGTTATACTCTTCATTAAAACTGAAATAATTTTTTTTTTGCCATCTATTATAAGTTCCTTGTAAATATCACTTTTATTTGCAATGTAACTTAAATGGCGAAAAATAAATCTATTTAACACAACAATATCATATAATCTAAATATTTCAAAATATAATATGTAATAAAAGATATTATAATATATTATAATACATTATAATATATATTATTATACATTATAATATATATTATAATACATTATAATATATATTATAATACATTATAATATATATTATAATACATTATAATATATATTATAATACATTATAATATATATTATAATATATAATAATATAATTATTTATATATAACCTGTGTTTACATACCATTTGATCTGTGACTACTTGAATTTGCTTTATCTTTCCAAATTTGGAAAATATTTCTCTAATTTTGAACTGAGTGGTAAAGGTGCTAAGCCCAAATACACCAATGCAGGGGTTAGGTTTCGGCACACGCTGAAATTGGAAAAGTAAAAACATTATTTGTTATTCCAAAATAAAAATATTAATTATAACATTTAATCTTTAAAGTCAATTAGGACAAAACAAAACTATTTTACTAATAGAAAGGTTTTACTAGTAGAAAGGTAGTGAAAAACAATAAATTAAATTTTATTTTAATTAATTGAACTTATAGACTGACCATACCGACGAAAATAAACCGGAGAAGATTAACTATAAATTAAATAAATGCCGTTTTACAGTCTTAGAGCAAAATAATATATAAAATTGGCGAACTGAAGAATTTCGCATTATGTCGGGAAAGGCGGAAACGAATTATACGATTACCTATGCACAGTAAAAAAGAAGACTTGAAGTCAATTACGTGTAGTATGGTTTATTAGTATTATAATTTTTTTTGTTATTATTATTTGTATTATTACTATTATTTTTATTATTATTTGTATTTTTCCGGACCTTAGATCAAGAAAGTACGCTCTGTGGGAGTATAATCTATATTTCATACCCTTATCTTAGCACCTCTCTGACTAGGTTCGCCGTTTTTATTAGTACTGCTTTCTGCATTTCTTTGATCATATGTTCTTGGAAATGGAGATCTACTAATAAGTTTGTTGTTGTTATGGTATGGTTTCGGTATGGTTTGAATTGACCTGAATATTATTGTAATTATTTTTACTGTCTCAAGGTTTTGGCTATTTTTAAGGTATTGTGTTAGTTCTTGATGTTTACCAATTTTATTATATGTATGTTTTATATTGTTGTCTAGTGGAACTGCAAAGTCGATGATTTGTGCTCTCATAATATTGGCAATAGTATTATAAATAATATTTTTTTTATTATAAATAATTATGCCATTTTGTAGGTATTACTTAATATGATTTATGTGAACCATGAAGTCTAGTCTCCTCGTTTGTTACCCACGGAAATTTTTTAGGCAGATGACATGAAAGTAATGCCAAAAAGATGGGTGAGTGATGGTAGTGTGAGAGGTGAGGAGATTGTTTAGAACTAAGAATGGATTAGGGATGAGTTTGATTTTAATTGAAATTAACATGGGTCATGACAAAGAAACCTAGCTACTCCCGGTCTAAAGATGGATTGGATTCACAAGTAAATGTGAATCTAAATAATAGTGCTTCATTTATTCTAATTATAGCTTTAAAGTAATTGTAGATATACTCATTTGCTCTCAACAGATTTTAATTCAAATTTCGATGCAATAATCTGCTATTCTTTCCCAACACATAAGTTTATTACATATCTATGTATTAATCTTTTTTCAGTATTAAGTATTAAAATTCTTATATACCTTATAAAACGAAGCAACAACAAAATTCTAAGTTATTATCTGCAGATTATTTATAAGGGTTTCTTGCGAGAAATGTGTTTGCAAACAAAACAATTCTTTTTTTTACGATATCGGCAAAACATGCAATACCATTGACCTACTGATAAAATTCTCGTTTTAGTAATGAAATGAGTAAAGTTAAATTCATTGTATAATCACAAGGAGGAAACATATAGATAAAATATTTATCAAATTACTGAAATTTAAGATTTTAGGGTTAAAGAATTTGCGTTGGATTCTTTTACATATAATATAATTTGAAAAATACGTCAGCGACATATGTTGAAACTAATGGTATATAAAAGTAAATTATTGTACCTCAAACAAGAGATTTTTTTTTTTAAATCTCTTATAAGTAAGGTGAGTTGTCTTCTGTGCAGACAAAACCATCCAGAAAAATTTTATAAAAATATGTTAAAAACATCTAACCCATATCATTGTTTAGTTTTATCATCATACGCTTGAGGTTATAATATGAGAAGAAGCAGTTAAGAATTTAGAGATATGGTTGGAATATTTTGTTATAAAGTGGACTTCTAGAGTATGCTATTAAATGACAAACGGCAATGAATGTTTCAACTTAGATTCTACTCATCCACTTCCCCGCCCATGTAATCGTCTTATATATACTTTTATGTTATCCGCTTACAGATCCCAGTGGGTTACAACAGCACAACAACTTACTGCTGAATAAATTTATTATATTTATTTTGTTTTTTAGGTCGAGACAGGTTACAACAACAGTAAGAATTGTGAAAAGTAACCTAGCCGCTCCTGGAACTACTGTATACATTTTATTCAGGTTATTATAATTATAATTATATTTACAAAATTTGCATTATTCTGAATGAATAATTATTATGTATGTAAGTAGATTAATGATATCAGGAACGATTGTTATTATATTTTTAATCACAGCATTTAAACTATTTCTTTAAGTTGAAAATCGTTCAGTGCTTAGAAGGGAGAATCTGTTCTAGGTACAAAAACAATATAATTATTATATACATTTTTTCAATAGTTTTTATATGTACAATTTTGCTTATATAAATCCGATAAGTCTTGAAACATTATAATTGTGATTATCGAAAGCGTATTGTATATGTTTAGATACGTACATTTGTTAAATGTTACAAATTTTATATTGATATTTATATTTTTTATTTTATTTATTTATTTTTTTCACATACAATAAATGCGAATGGTCAGCATATCTTTTTATTTACGATTTTATTAACGATTACGATAAAATATGTATAAAACTTAAACACTTACATCATATTTATCCCGGGAATTTGCAACACGTACTGGTGACCGTGAATACCTAGCCCTTAAATAGAGAATGGTAGACTTAATTAAACTTGTTTACACTTCATTTTTAATAATAAATTAAATATGCGTAATTGCAATATGCACTGAAAATCTTTTTTACAAAAGTTATTAAAAATTTTATGGCAAGAACAAATTATATTGATTAACGCAAGATATTTTAAAAGCATTTGTACCAATTATTTAAAAGCATTTGTTTAAAAATTATTTAATTAAAATTAATAACTTAAGTTAAGTTATATATATATATATATTTTATATTAAAAGCTAACTAATAGTTAAAAGTCTATTTGCCGAAAATCATATTCTTACAATAAATTGCAATTATTTTTACGCTTATATGTATGTCGTTAACAATAAAACCAACGACAAGCAAACAAAAAAAAAATTGTAAACAATCGCATTCTTTATACAGATAATGTTTTATATTGAAAAAAATTATTGTTTTCACAAACCTGGTACTGTGATATTCATTCTTTCGAGACCTAGAAGAATTGCTGCTAACAGAACTAAAACATAAAAGCAACCAATTAATTAAGGGCGCAAATAACGAAATGTATGTCATAATATACTTACCGCCTCTTTCTTGGCGCTTTTCGTACTTGCGACCGACTGCGGCTACGGCTACGGGTCTTTAAAAAAATATAAATTTTATTAACACAGAAGGAATAGGCTTTTTAATATAAAATGTCATATAATTTTTAAGTACCAGAAGTTATTTTCAATAAAATAAAGATTATACAAAAAAAAAGCTTATTCTTTAAAATGTGTGCATACTGAGATCACAACACACCAAATTTTATGAAGTTGATATATTTATGGCCCTTACAATTTCTTTTTAATTTTAACATTCTTCTTACCATTACAAAACACTCATTCACTGTCTAGAAATTAGTTAAAGTTTTAATTTTGCGTAAAAAACAGAAATAGAAACACCGGTTTCAGGTATATCAAGCGCACAAAACGTCAAAATCGTAAAATATTTATTTGCAAGCACTGCAGCCAACCGCAGAAAATGAAAACTTATCGATGTCTTTCACAGAATAGCCGGCAAATACAAGTGAAATAGTTTAATACCGTGTGATGCGTTTTATAAAAATTTTTGCAATGTACTTCAAAATTTTATCAAATTTAAAATAATAATTAAAAGGAAAAATTGAAAATAATTGACGTCTTTTACGGTGGAAAAGTTTTACGGTAAGTTTTATTGCATTTATATACATACTATAATAAAAAAAAATTCGATACATTAAATTGTAACTCGTTCGGAAGTTTGGACAGAAAAATAAGTAATATTTATATATAATATTGATATATGTTAAATCGGTTCTATTATATTTTATATTTTCGTATATTGATATTTATATTATAGTTTACAGTCAAATTTCTTTAATTTCGTTAAAATGAAATTAACTTAATTTGGAAAGTGTTCATACTGCTCCAAATTAAAGAACATCACATGTTTTTTCGTTTACAAATCGAATGTTAAAAAGTACATGCTCAAAAAACCATTTATGTTTGCGAAATTTAAAAAGTTCAGTATGTTCAAACAGCCAAACTTCCTTAATTTCGTTAAAATGAAATTAACTTAATTTGGAAAGTGTTCATACTGCTCCAAATTAAAGAACATCACATGTTTTTTCGTTTACAAATCGAATGTTAAAAAATACATGCTCAAAACACCATTAATGTTTGCGAAATTTTAAAAGTTCAGTATGTTCAAACAGCTAAACTTCCTTAATTTCGTTAAAATGAAATTAACTTTATTTGGAAACTGTTCATACTGCTCCAAATTAAAGAACATCATATGTTTTTTCATTTACAAATCGAATGTTCAAAAATACATGCTCAAAACACCATTAATGTTTGCGAAATTTTAAATGTTCAGTATGTTCAAACAGCCAAACTTACTTAATTTCGTTAAAATGTAATTAACTTAATTTGAAAAGTGTTTATACTGCTCCAAATAAAAGAACATCAAATGTTTTTTTCGTTTACAAATCGAATGTTAAAAAATACATGCTCAAAACACCATTTATTTTTGCGAAATTTTAAAAGTTCAGTAAGTTCAAACAGCTAAACTTTCTTAATTTCGTGTAAATGAAATTAACTTTATTTGGAAACTGTTCATACTGCTCCAAATTAAAGAACATCACATGTTTTTTCATTTACAAATCGAATGTTAAAAAATATATGCTCAAAACACCATTTATGTTTGCGAAATTTTAAAAGTTCAGTATATTTAAACAGATAAAGTTCCTTAATTTCGTTAAAATGAAATTAACTTTATTTGGAAACTGTTCATACTGCCCCAAATTAAGAAAATCATATATTTTTATTTACAAATCGAATGTTAAAAAGTACATGCTCAAAAAACCATTTGTGTTTGTGATGTTTTAAAATTTGGTTATTATAACTATAAAGGATGGCATTCAGTAGTTTTATTAACTTTAGTGGATTTAAGGTATGTGAATTATTATTTTTCACTCTATTTTAAATTAATAACAGTTATAGTTCTTTCCCTATATTCAAATTTAATATGCACTTTTTTCGAAATATTTTAATTAAAGTCAGCTGTCACTGATATTTATTACAACAAAAAAAAATTTTTTTTTTCGTTATCTCATTTTTTCCCAAATTTATCTTTCGCATAGTTCCATTTGAAATTTTCCTTAATTTCAGTCTTCATTTCAACGAAATTAAGTTCATTTTCCCTAATTTCGTTCTGTGTGCTACCAAATCACACCGTCTATTTTCAAGTTCGCATACCAAATTTCGATCTGAGACATGTATGCGGTAAAATTAAAATTTTTCAATTATTTGTTAAGTCTGAACACATGTCTGCTTGTGTATATCGAAATCTGCAGACTTCTCATAATTTAAGAATTTTGGTGAGGGTTGGACGAGTAAAGATCGCAAAGAATTGTGAAATAATTGAAAAAGTTGTAGACATATATTTTCTTTAAAAGACACAAATTTGAAAAAAAGTTCTACAAACAATTATTAAAGATAAAATCTTTATATAATGAAATAAATAACATGTTGCTATTATCATCATCTCAGTTCCTTCAGTTTCGATTACTATTTTGCACTCTGTACTTGCTCTGCTGTTGTTCTGAACGCTGTAGAAATTCATTCAAAATGAAGTATGCATATATTCTTTCAAAGTGTATAGCAAAGCGCATATTTGAACACTATACTTGGTGTGCAGATATGTAGCATCGTCTATTCATGCTTAAAACTCCAACGTCACTTATTTGATGAGTTGCTCAAGGATCAGGTCTTATAGTATTTGCACTATGTTTTCGGCAAAACATCAGTTGATTCTTGTTATTATGAAGTCCTGTACAAAATTTATTGATATATAAACTATTTGTTTTGCTTTATATGAAATGGCGTACAAAATTTTTGATAAAATAAATTCTAACCGAATTAAGTACATACATTTTATTACCATTATACTATTGTTTTTATTCAGAATCTTAATTCTAAAACACAAAAATATATATACATATTAGTGAAATATTTCCAAAAATATCGAAATTCTTTAGTATCCTCCATTATAAAAAGGACAAAACTATTGACACAGAAGACCAAACTTAACAACTTTTTAATAAATTGAAATTTGGGCGATCCTTCAATGGACATCTATATTTGAGAAAGATAGATTAAAAAAATATGTATATGATTGATATGAGAAAAAAGTTAATGCAGCGTTTTTATTAGGACTATCTAAGATTATATGCAAATTCTATAAAAAAATTAGTACAAAAATGCATTTAACATTTTTAATATGTTGTTGGTGAACTTAGCATGACAAGCTCAAGATCAATTATTTATTTTTGAATTAACATTAAAATTAATTTTAAAATGAACTAAGAATAAGTAACTTGATTGCTAGGTGCATCGTTCTGAAACATATTAAAGATAATTATTAACTGGTTTAAAGATAATTGTTAATTGGCTTATGCAATTATGCTGGCAATTAAACATACTTGAATGCGTTTATATAGATATGCAATTAAACGAAATTTAACTGTTTCATCACGTTAAGAAAAAGGTTATTTTCAGAGTACATCAGAAGGCTATTGAGTTAAACATATTTTTCTTCTAAGAAATTATGATGCTAAAACCCACTTATAGAATAAACGAAGTATGAATTGTCATATATATGCAATTATAATAATTACATTTTAAGCAGTAAGATAATTATAGAAATTTATTTATAAATATTAATATTGGCAAAAAAAGTATACGTTTATGAAAGACTACGCCCATTTTTCTAAGACTGCGAATACAAAAGAATCCGGGATATATTGTTAATTAACTTATAATAAACCACTTCAAAAAAATATTTTTAAGTATGTGTAGTGTTTAGTTGTTCAATTTTAATTTAATTTTCAATTGCTTCATCTAAAGATCGTTAAGTTTTTTTCTTTTGTATAAAAATTAAGTTGCAGAGTTGTATGCGGTAATCATTCACAATAACTTTTGTCACTAAATTCACCATGAATAAATAAACTCTACATTTTTTAAAATTGCAATAGCATTAAAAAAATATCAAGTAAGTTGCCATAATGTCTGTTTATTTATATCATTTGTGTATAAATATTATAGTTAACAATTATTCTTTTAGTTATCGAACTTGCGCTTTATGATATTTTAATTAAGATTCGCATGAATAATATTTATATACATTTTTAATTTAGATATTGTTAAAGATATACGTAGCAACAGCTGCAAAAATTCTAACATATTCGTAGACTTGCTCTCACCGTAGTCATCAGAGTTAGAAAATTTGTCAATTAAATATATTGCATTGTGTTAGTTAAGGCAATGTTTTAGTTAATATAAACGTCTCATTGTTGCTGATTGTGGGATGCCGTAGATAACAAATTCCAAGTCTGGATTTAATCCAGAGTTTTGGCTTTTTTTGTTGTTGATTTGTAAATAACTGTTATATAAATTTCTCGTTTTGTATGATTTCGTTTTTCGGCTCGCTGGTGTTATTGTTGTAGCCCACGGGAACATGAAAAGCAGATAACGTAAAGGTGCATCCACATTAAAGCGAACATTTGCTCTTTGCTCATTAATGAAAATAAAAAATTTTGTTGAAGAAGAAACGGTAATAATATTCTATATTATATGGTTTCTTGAACGAAATGAAAGCTCGACACATTATGTATTTATATAAAGCACCTTAAAAACTAAAAAAAAAAAAATGTTTGATAGTTCCGTCAATTATTTCTTAGATTCGGAAAAAAAAACAACGATGGAGATTTAGCTCCAACTGGTGTCACTACAAAGCCAATCGATCTATATGTAACTCTCGGACAGTCAGATTAACACAAAACGTAACATCTAAAGGTATTTTCAAGTATATATATTAGAATCACTTTGTGATGATAACGTGACTGTGAGAAATCTCCAGAAGCTGGAAAACAAAGAAGTATATATTCAGAGTAAATCTACTTTGAATTCAGAATTAAAAATTGAAAATGCCACAAAAACCATTCCATATTTGAGGATTAAAATTAGTTTTTATAACAGTTTTCGCACAGTTTACTGCATTTAATGGATTTCAATATGTAAATTATATGTAATTTTTGAATACTATGTTAAAATAAATATTAAATTTCTTTTCAAAATATATTTATTTTATTTCTTGACACACAAACACAAATAACTAAGCAGAGTTCATTATTATGAACTTTCAATTTGCATAATTCATTAAGTGTATAAAGCATAAAAAATTAATGCACCAAAATTAATCCTCTAAAATGACTCAAGTGTGGTATAGGTGTAACAGAATATAACAAAATGAAATTTTCATAATTATGATTTCTCATTTAATATAATTTATTGAATATTGTACACCTGTGTAATAAAATTTAAACTATTTAAAAATGTGGAAATATATGAAAAATTAAGATTGTGATTTGATTTACTTAATGAAATTGTAGTTTATTATTATGATAAATAAAATATCTGTGATGTGTGCAATTCGTACATAAGAGAGCGGTTGCAGAAAAATTCACCACGAAATGCATATCTGCAACTTTGTGTCATGAATTTGTCAGAATGTGTTTGTGTGTTCGTTATTGTGAATGGTCATGTATAAAATATATATGGCATCTAATTTCACGCAGAAAGATATAATTTTGCAAGAGCATAAATTTTTGTGAAGCGGTATATAATTTATACATTTTTTAAATTTTTATTGGCGGATTTTAGAAATGTATTAAAAACTTATTAAATGTGTGCAGTGAATTCTAAAAATTATAATTATACATTTAATGTTATCACTGCTGCCAAGCGCTTTGGCGTCAATTTTTTAAAGAGATTTATACGCTTAGTGTTCTGTACATACGCGCATTGTGTTAATATTCATGAATTGACAAAAGTTATTTGTTAATAACTATTAGATTGGTTTCAAACGCCTTGTTATAAGTGCGAAGAAAGTGTTGTGAAATTTTAATAATATTACAATAAATTACTATCAAGTTGATTACTATTATATATTTAATTTCGCTATACTCTTCAAAATGAGAAGAACGTCGATTAAATGCGGTATATAAAAGTAATAATATTTCTATAAAATGGAAGATATAGAGTATTTGGAAGAATACGAAGATTTGGTACTACCAGGTAAGAGTTTGTTCTTTAGAAAAATCAATGATATATTAGCGTTACATTTGTATTATAATTGTATAGTAATTAATTCAAATACAGGCATGTCTAAGCAATCAAAAACTGTTCAGCACCCGGCAGACGGCGAAGATTCCTCTTCAATAGATCAAGATATATTTGAGAGTTTATTTGATAGTCGATCAGATGACGAAACGGCGGTAGAAAAGAAAGGTGAGAAAGTTTACTGTCTGGATAAATATATCTACAACTTTTCCAACTTAAGTGTTTGTATAGAAAAACTTTCAAAAATAAACAATAAATGAATCTTTCCGCTTTTCTTATTGACATTAAACTTGTGCCTTTTTGTATACTTTTTACTTTTTTTTACTTTAATTTTACTTTTATTTAACAAAATTAGATCCAAAATTAAATCGACGGGAAGATCGCTCGTCTATGGATTCACTTGATATGCTAGTAAAAGATTTGGGTACTATTATATCATATATATCAAAAATTTTTAATCGATTGTTATATTTTAGGAGAGCAACTTCCAACAAGTAGTAACGTATTAAATCAAACAGTAGATAAGAGGTCTCCTAGTAAACCTACGAAAACTAATGTGAAAGGCAATTATAAAATTCAAATTATCATTTATATGTTTCTAAATTGTCAAATGTTTCAATAGGTCAAACCAAAAAAGCAGGAAAAAATCAAGAATTGGAATCAAAAACCGATTTAAAAAATAAATCTAATATTGTGCATCTTGGAAAAGATAAATCTGCAACGGCTGGTAAACCTATAGAAAATCAAAACGAACAAGAATTGGTAAGTTCTTTACATTAGCAAATATGTAATATGTTTTTTTTTTCTTTTAAACTGATTACATACTAACAAATATTTGTAAATTTACTATTAGATTTCGTCAACTAGCCGAAGTGGTAACGTTCAATCAACATCGATAAGTCCTAGTTTAGCTACATCGGCAAAAAAATTTTCTACAGCTACATCTTCAACTGGCGTTAACAAAAAGAAAGACCCGGTGCAAACCATTATTAAGCCTGAAAAACCTCTTTCAAAAGATCCAGCAGATGATCCATTAGGTTAGTGGAAACTATCAGACTCAAAAATTCATTACTTTTACTGAAATTGCATCTTATAGAAATGAAATAAAAATTTGTTTATTTGCATGTTAGTGGTCTTTACTTTATATTAAAAGAAAATGCACCTCTTAGTAAAAATTACATATTTTATTATTTAATTATTATTATTTATAGTTGTTTATTATATTTTTTAGAACTGTTAAGTGTCATGGCTTTTGATAAGTGAATTGGGTAAATGTGTTATGTTATGATTTCTTGAAAATATTCGTTTCAACCGTAGATGATTTCCGCAATTCATAGTCATACGATTTAGCTTACAAAATGATGTGCTGCCATTTTGGGACATTTTCTATGTGTTATGATCTATAAGGTTTTACTGTAATGTATAAAACGCATCCATTTAGGTCTAGAAGAGTGTCCCGAATTATATATTCCATTTATAATTTCATTTTTAATATGTTATTGTGTAAATTATAGTTATGTTATTTATTTATTGGGCTTATTATGTTTATCAGATTGCATTAAAAATCAGAACATTTAACCAAATTGTTATTGTAGATGAAACTCACATCATTTCTTTGTTAAAATATAATTTTAAGAAATCTTAAAATACTTATCAAATTTAAAAAATGGAATGCCAACATTATTTCTTATCACATCCAGTAATATAAGTTTACAAAATGAATCTATCTCACTAACCAAATTATGTTGTACTGTAATGTAATGTATGTAATGTTGTACTGGAGTATGTTAAAAATCATATTAAGTCTAAAAATATATATGCATACGTCCAGCCCAAACATTTAGGTTATAGTCCTACTGTGTGTTAGTATACCAAGTTTTAGATAACATTGCTATCATAACAACTCCAAAATAACTGCATTATGAAATGCTTTATTGATTTCAAGCATAGATAAAGATTGTTCATCTATATGTTGTTGTTTTGCATCCATTTTAATTCGCCTACTTTTACGCTACATTTTACTTCTACTTCCCATACAAAAAGCGATGCTCTTGTCGCAGGCATTTGGTCGACTAAAAAAGCTAATAATAAGTATAAGTGCTTATGGTTATTTATATAATCACATAAACTTCTACTTATCTAAATACTTTCAAATAAATGACGGCTAACAAATAAAACGATTTAACAACAATT